ATTATTAATTCTGAAGAATCATAAAGCATTGGAAAATCGAGACGGATCAGTTGATGTAAGAATAATACTGTTCACAATTAGCTGATGAGTATAAGGAGCAACTCGAGTGCTTAATGAAGGGTATGTAGAATGTTACACTTACCTTAGACTGTAAATACAAGGAACCGCCTTTTGTCTTGTCGTTAATTTCAAATAAATGTTTGTAATGCGACTCAACTTCTTCTTTGTTCAAGGGCTCTTTCACATTCAAAATCTGCATTGATTCCTGGAATAAACTTGCTTTATCGGTGCGAAAATATCTGTGATCATGAAACTGAATAAAGTAACGACCATTACGCATCTAAACGAACTCAAAAGAATAAAATATTTGCGTGATCCACATGTCGGAACTGTATTCATCATAGTTTCAAAAACCCACGGAACGAGATCACTCTTAACGGAATGAATTCTTCGACTAGCCTGTAGAGATATTCCGAGCCTAGCGTTTGTTTCACCGGATCGTTGTGCTTCCGAGGCTGATCCACCCGTCCTTTCAGCATACCTGGCTGCGGCTTGTTTGCTTGCTTAAATAAGCATCAAAATACTTCTCCGAACAAGTGCTTGTAACCTTTGCTATATCAATTCAATTGGTTCAAACAAAATATCACAATTAAAAGTTTGTCAAATAATTTGCGACGATTCCCATAATTAATTCAAACAGGATAAAAACCATGTAGCACTAGTGATAGACAATAAAGATGAAAACGGTGTTACCTTCAGAAACATCAACAATTATGAATGCCGCTATTCTGATTTCAAAAAAATTTTTAAATGAACAACTCATATTAACCCAAAATCATTGAACTCAAAAAACTCGGCGAAAATGTTACCTCTGATTTCATCTCTAACTGCCCTCGTGAACGCTTTCGTTAACGCTTCTCCTGCCGCAAGAATAACCTTTGCGGCATTCCTCCACACCATCCCGTAATTATCTGAAATCAATTGTCATAAATTTCTCCAAACTATTGTAACCACA